TAAAGAGGAAAACTAAAACTGATTGTGAAATATTAGTTTATAACATGATAAAAAGAAAAAAAGAATGATATTTCATAAATTGAATCAAATTTTTTTAATCCAAATTTGAGTATTGAAAGATAATTATTAAACAGAAAATAATTATAATATATTTTAAAATCAATTAAAAAGACAATAAAATATCACAATATAAATGAAAAATTAACAAAAAAAAATTATAAACTTCCCATATACATATCACTCAAATCTGGCTTATAATTGTGGCTAAGGCTGATTTTTGTAACTATAATGAAGTGACGTACGATCTTGATTTAGGCATATTTAGATGCAATATCCAAGAGTAGAGCACATAGTTCATGAGGCTTAGAGAACATTGCCATATGATCTGCACATTTGATCTCCATTACTTCTTTTGGTGGATAGTTCTTGATCATCCAACGTTGGTAATCTTCAGGTTCCACAAGATCTTCTTCACATATGATATATATACGTGTAACGGATCCGTATCCTTCCTCACTAAAGCTTCTTGTCCCTGCCAAGTTATTCGTAACTAAGGGGTTCACCCTCACCAACATTTTCGCCAGTTCAAGATCCTAATTCACAAAAATAACATCAACAAAAAGATTGGCTCATGAGGTTATATATACAACTTATAATAAGTAAGCACAAACCCATGTGAGTATTACATTAAGACTAAAGTACTCTTACTTGGACTGGAGAGAGTTGATACATCTTCTTGGCCATGTATTTTGGTCCCAACAAAGCAAACTCTAGAGGACAATCAGGTTTCCCATACCTTCCAAACACGGTGTCGAACCATTCTTCTTGTGGAACGCTTCTGATCAGCTGAAGAGTTCAGTAAAATATTAAAACCACTCGGACGAGGTCATACCTCAAAACAAAAGTATCATACCTTTTCGTAAACATAAGCAGGTGGATTTGTTGTGTCAGGCATGAAAGCTGTCAAGAAGACAATAGCAAAAATCTTACTAGGGAACATATCAGCAGCAAGCGTGGCGCATATACCTCCCATGCTATGAGCAACAAGGATCACCTTATCGTCATCCGAGCTAAGACACTCAAGCAATGGTTTGCAGTAATCTTTAAGAGTCTGAATCTCTTCCACTCTAGTCATGTTTATACCTGATGCAGCTAGATCCACCGCGGTCACACAATGACCTTCAGCCTCAAGATATGTTTTCACCTTGTACCAAGTCCACGCGCCATGGCACAGCCCATGGACGAGCACAAACCTCTTCTTGTTGTTCTTCTCCATTGTGTTTTTTTTTACTTTTAGCATCTTAATTGATTCAACACATATATATGGACAGTTACTTTCCCCATACTCTTTGTATATTGACTGTTAGTTTCTGGTCCTTCTCTATGACCTAGAGAATGATAAATTAACACTACATTGACTGTTAGATTTCTCATTTCAACCATAGTAAGCAATAAAGTATGAACCTATAGAAACATTTTTTAATTTTTTTTTTTTGCTAAATTAGAAACATATATTTTAGAAAACACACTTAATAGTTTCAAATCCAAATACAATTCAACAAACAATCCTATTATTTAATCGAATTTTTCGGCGATTTCCGATAGATGGGCACTTAGCAACTGAGGTTTGCAAAACATTGGCATATGATCCGTCTCTTCCATCTCCTTCACTAAATTTACCGGATAATTGTCGATCATCCATTGTTGTAGTTCTTTTGAGATGATGTTGTCCTCTTTGCACACAATGTAAGCTCGAGGAACAGATCCATACCCTTTGTCCGAAAATTTCGTCCTCCTCGATAATTCGTTCATAAATAATGATGCCGGCCTCTTTAGAAGCAGTCCAAGCTCAAGATCCTAAATTAAGATTACCATACTATCAATTATATGTTGATCATTTTTGTTTTGTTGGTAAAAGATGATGATTGGAAACTAAATCACCTCAATAGGAGAAAGTTGATAGAGACGGTTCTTCATGTAATCAGTGCTGAAGGACACAGACAAGCCAGAATTGTCTGAGCCGTACGGCTTGAACTCAGAACCCATCCATCCTTCTGGTGTCATGTAGCTTGCAAACTGTCACGTGAATCTAAAACGTATTATATGCTCTCTAGGGTGATTGGTGAAAACTATAGTCAATATATATGTGATTCAGTAGTGGCCATAGATTTTTTGCTTTGTCAACCACACACTTCAACTAAAATAAGGCTCCTTGATTAGTTTGTTTGATCCACATATTACAGAGTTATATTACGAATTTCATAAATATTCTGTATATTAAAACTATAATTTTTTAAGTGGGCAATATATATACAAAAATACTATTATTAAGATTTTTTTGTGTGCACCAAATTCATTATTTTTCAAAAATACCATTAGAATCTATTTTTCCTAAAATATTACAAAACTAAAATTAAATTTCACTTTTAAATCTGAACTCTAAAATCCTAAAATCCTACCCCTAAAATTATATATCCTAAATCTAAAATAGTTAACCCGGCCAAACCGGAAAAAAAAATTTACCTATATGAAAATCAATTTTGACGTTTGTGTTATTTTGGAAAAATGAATCTATCATAGTATTTGTAGGAAAAAAAAAACTTAAAATGTGCTATTTTAGGAATTTCTCTTTAAATCGTATATTAATTATGAGACATGTATACCTTGTCCACGACGAATGATGGTGAGTGTTTGGTGTCGGGCATGACAGCAGTCACAAAGACAGAGACAGAGATTTTTTCAGGAAACTTATCCATGGCTATGGCTAAACTCAAACCTCCAAAGCTATGACCAACGAGCACAACCTTCTCATCATTTGGCAATGAAGTCATAAGCTGAATCAACGGCTCAGAATACTCTTCGCATGTGGAAATGTCAGTGATTGACTTGGTGTTGTCTATACCGCAGCCAGCTAGGTCTAAGGCGGTTACTCGATGGCCCGAAGCCTCGAGCTGCGGCTTAACCTTGTACCAGCACCATGCGCCGTGGCCTGCACCATGTACTAGAACAAAGTGTTGCTTCCTCTTTTCCTCACTCATTTTCTTCTTTTCTTTTGATATTATCACCTTGTTTCGTACGCACACATCCACACACTCACTACATATAAGTAGAGAGGCCATAAAGCTTATCTTTGATTTAGAAAGAAAAAAAAAAACAATTGTCGCTATCCTTGAGATAGTACTGTATTCCTTTAATTTTGTGATTTCACGTGATAATCACAATTTTAGGAAAGAAGTAACAATTTTGGAACATTTATTTGAATAAACGACAGTTTACTCTATCGGTAAAATACTTTACACTTATTTTAGTCGAATAATAATAATTTGTAAATAAAATATCTGAACAACAGATAATAACTTATAACAAAAAAATGTTTTACCCTTTTACAAAGTAACAAAATCTGAAACTTCAAAACCATTCAGTATAAATTATTTATGCATTTGCAACAAACATATGAAAATGTATTCTATATCAAATCCAATACATTTTTACATAGGAAGAATGATAAAACGAATTTGTAAGCAATTTCCATCATTGGCATAGTTGCTGAGGCTTGCAGAACACTGGCATATGTCTCCTCCATCTCCATCACTAAGTTCACCGGAAAATTATCAACCATCCATCTTTGGTACGGTGTTCTTCTGGAATGGCTTTGTCCTCGATCTTTGCACACTATGAACGAACACTGGATCCAGGCCCTTTAAAAGCAATCCCAATTCAAGATCCTAAAATCAAGATAATTAAGTGAGAAGCAACATGTTTAGATTCACTCGATAGAACTAGTTCGGCCATGACCAGACAAAACAACTATAGTTTACATATGCTTTTGCCAACAACTATTAAAATAAATATCCTTTATATTCGTTTTAGTTTTATTTTGAGACTTTTAACATACTCAAACGAATGAAAACTTTGAGTTGAAATCTTAAAATGTTTTGAAACATATATCATATTTTTTTTTTATCTAACAATGAAAGTACTAAAATCATTTTTAACTGAAGACGAAATATGTTTAATTTTTTTTCCTGATCATCCCTTTGCAATTGTGAGGGGGAATATTTTTATTTTTGAACTCAAAATCATTGCTTAATGCTTTTTGAGGAGGAACTCTTATATTTATGGACGTTACTTTCTCCACACTCTTTGTGTATTGACTGTTAGTTTCTCGTCCTTCTCTGAGATCCATAGAATGCTAAACCAACATTACATTGACTGTTAAATTTCTCATTTCAACCATAGTAAGCAATAAAACATAAACCGATAGAAATATCCATTTTAGAACACACATTTAGTTGTATCAACTCCAAATACATTTTCAACATCATTGTATTATTTAATAGAATTTGTCGGCGATTTCCGATAGATGGTCACTTAGTAGTTTAGGATTGCAAAACATTGGCATATGATCTGTCTCTTCCATCTCAATCACTAAACTGCCCGGATAGTTATCGATCATCCATTTTTGTAGTTCTTCTAAGATGATTTTGTCCTCTTTGCATACAATGTAAACTCGAGGAACAGAACCATACCCTTTGTCCGAAAAATTCGTCCTCCTCGATAATTCGTTGGTAAATAGTGATGCCGGCCTCTTTAAAAGCAATCCAAGCTCAAGATCCTATATCAAGATTACCACAACATCAAGTATAGTACTATGTACTATCAATAAGTTATATGGTGATGATAATTTCTTATTTTCGATAAAGATGATGATGATTATAAATTAAATTAATTACTTCAATAGGAGAAAGTTGGTAGATACGGTTCTTCATGATCTCAGTACTGAACAACGCTGACATGCCAATATTGTCTGAACCGTACGGCTTGAACTCTGTGCCCATCCATCCTTCTGGTGTCATGTAACTTGCAAACTGTAACGTGAATCAAACACATATGAAATATTATATGCTCTAGAGTCTAGAGTGATAAGTTAAGACTATAGTCTTATATGTATTTAATAGTGGCCACAGCTTTTTTCTTCTTTGTTAAACCACACAGTTCAACTTAAATTAGACTCCTTGGTTAGTTGTTCGTATAGTAATTGTCTTAACAAGATAAGTTCAGACATTGAAACTTTTAATGAGACATACCTTTTCTAAGACAAACGATGGTGAGTGTTTGGTGTCGGGCATGAAAGCAGTCACAAAGACAGAGACAGAGATTTTTTCAGGAAACTTATCCATGGCTATGGCTAAACTCAAACCTCCAAAGCTATGACCAACGAGCACAACCTTCTCATCATTTGGCAATGAAGTCATAAGCTGAATCAACGGCTCAGAATACTCTTCGCATGTGGAGATGTCAGTGATCGACCTGGTCGTGTCTATACCACAGCCAGCTAGGTCTAAGGCAGTCACACGATGGCCCGATGCCTCGAGCAGTACCTTGACCTTGTACCAGCACCATGCGCCGTGGCACGCACCATGTACTAGCACGAAGTGTTGCTTCCTCTTCTCCTCACTCATTGTTCTTCTCTCCTTTTGGTATTATCACTTTGTTTCGTACGTTTTTTTCTTACTCTTCACACATCCACACACTCATTACATATAAGTAGAGAGACCTTAAAGCTTATCACTGATTATAAAAAACAAAAACAAAATTTGTCGCTTTCCTTGAGAGATCCTTTTAGAATTTTACGTGATAATCACAATTTAGTATTTTTCTTTCAAGAAAGAAATAACAATTTGATATTTCCCTTTGAATAAACGACAATTTTTACTGTGGATTAAAACACTTTTTTTTTTTGTGATTAAAACACTTTATAATTATTAAAATTAACGTTAAAGTATCTTTCTTTTTTGTTTGGTCAAACGTTAAAGTATCTTTCTAAAATTACAATGTTAGAACTTAATTAATATACTCATCCAGCTGTAAATCGGATGTTGACAAATGATACAACTCTTGTTACATGCTTATTCCATGCTATAGACGCATACACGAAGTTAAAGCATGTTTAGTCGAACAATAATAATTTTGCAAATGTAAAATATTTTAAAAACAGAATATGAACTTAGAGAGTAGTACAGTATGTAAGAAATATATTTATAGATATAAATATCAAAATTTAATTTCTAATAGTCGATTGCTTAGAAAATGTTCTACGACTTCCGCACAAAAACAAATCTTGCAAAATATAACATATATATGGCAATCAAGAAAAATACGAGTAAAACATATGGTAGGGTGGATATGACAAATATGTCATTAAGGTGAATACCAAACTCTCATATAGAGTAACACAATCTGAAGCTTTAAAAACATTTGTAACAAACCCTTATTATATAAAATCCAATACATTCTCATGAAGATTGATTAAACGAATTTGTAAGCAATTTCCATGAAGTGATCACATAGTTGCTGCGGCTTACAGAACATTGGCATATGATCTGTCTTTTCTATTTCGACCACTAGATTAACCGGAAAATTATCAATCATCCATTTTTGGTGTTGTTCTGGGATAGCTTTGTCCTCTTTGCACACAATGAAAGCTCGAGGAACAGATCCATATCCTTCATCAGAAAAATTCTTCATCTTCGATAAATTGTTAATAAACAATGATCCTGGCCTCTTTAAAAGCAGTCCAAGTTCAAGATCCTAAATCAAGATTACAAATATGCATCACCAAGACCAAAATAAGTAAGAAGCAACTTTTTTAGATTCATTCGATAAGACAAGTTCAGTACTGGCTCTGCCATGATCCTGAAGAAACATATATGGTTTACATATGTTTTTGGCAACAACTAAAAAAAAAAATCCTTTATATTAGTTTTACATTTAATTTAGTACTTTTAAATGATTTAAAATACTCAAGTTTAGTTGAATCTAATAATTGAATAGATATTTAATCATTTTGAACTGAAGACAAAATATTTTTGCTTTCTTCTAGTGCAATAATTTTTTACGTAGGCCACGAAAATTGAAGACATTATTGTTAAAAAATGATTGATCGAGTCACCAATTTGTATTTTACATTTTTCTAACATTAAAAATGACTGATTGAGTCACCAATCTTATTAATTAGAGTATTTGAGTCCCCCAATTTCATCAAATAATTCAATGATCCCAAAGAAACTTCAGTTTCGGTTTTGTTTTAGAGATAAAAGACAGATAAACTAAATTACCTCAGTTGGAGAAAGCTGGTAGAGACCGAGCTTCATGAACTCAGGGCTAAAGAACATACTCAGTCCGGAATTGTCTGAACCATAAGGTTCGAATTCGGTGCCCATCCATGCTTCTGGCCCTGGTAAGTTGCTTCCATACTAACATAATTAAAGAAAAAAAAAAAAAACTCAAATCAAATAGTATTCAAGAAAAATCTACTAGGATTTAATTTTCTACCCCACGTGTACGTGTTATCTCATATAGGCCACACAATATTCATAAAGTAGAGTCCAAAAACAAGGAAACATGTTATAAAAGAAAAAAAAATCCAGAAACGATTTCATTTCTGTCATATGCACTAATTCATTAATCTCAAGGATGAGAAAAATAGTATTAGATGGTTGGTAGGTACATTGTTTATTTTTTTATAAGATTATTAAATTGATTATTTTTGATTTTATCGAATTTATATTGCATATAGGTTTCAACGCGAGGTACACATCGATACTATCACAAGTTACTAGATACAGTCTATGTTATAACTATTAGTTTCTCAAAAAAGAAAAAAACAATTACCAATATAAATTGTTGGGGAAGGTAATTTGCTAAACTTATAGATAACCTTAAAATTTTCTATATATATATTTTTGCTAGTTTATAAGCAATCTTCCTTATTTAATATTTATGTAAGATGAACCATTTTTGGTTCTTTTTTTTTTTTTGGTATGATCCATTTTTGGTTCTTGCACTTGTCCAACTTGAATACTACTGTGCAAACTTTGACTTATTAAAAATAAAGAAATAAAGTATTGGTCGCTTAAGAAAAAGACTCTTTAAATAAACGAAAGATCTATATACATCATTCAAATCAATCGATCATATAAAAGATATATCAATTCTAAAATAAAATAAAATTAAAAACGAGATACCTTTTCCAAGACAAAGGATGGTGAGTGTTTGGTGTCAGGCATGAAAGCAGTCAAGAACACAGCCACAGAGATTTTGTTCGGAAACATTTCCATGGCTATGGCTAAGCTCAAGCCACCAAAGCTATGACCAACGAGCACAACCTTCTCATCATTTGGTAATGCTCTCAGCAACTTCGTCAATGGCTCTGAGTATTGTTCGCATGTAGAGACGTCAGTGATGGACTTGGTTCGGTCTATACCAGAGGCAGCTAAGTCCACGGCCGTTACACGATGGCCAGCAGCTTCTAGCAGTGGTTTAACTTTGTACCAGCACCACGCACCGTGGCACGAACCATGTACTAGTACAAAATGTTGTTGTTTCGTCTTTTCTTCACTCATTCTTCTGACCATTGATATTTTTCTATTCTCTTCTAAAACGCACACGCACACAAAATATATATAGAGATCTTTTGCGCATGGAGAGAGAATTAACAAAAAGTCTTCGGTACGAAGGAATAGGGTGATGATGCTACTCACGACAATATTTATTTAAATATAACCAATATATATAACAATTATATACAGTCTGTCGCTGATCAAAATGTATTATCTTCTTAACCAAAATGTTTTTAATTTTTGATTATTTTAAATTTATATCCTAACATATTAAAGACATATACCAAAGAATGGACTTTTTCCTAACTCCTAGATCCTTTATACATATAAAGTATCACTTAAATCTAGTTTAATTAATACTCCTATTTCTTTTTGTTCTTTCTAAGTAATTTTTTTTTATCAAACTATGCATTTAATAAAACGTTACACTTGTTGTCAAAAGTTTTCTTTTGAATAAATTTTTATTCAAAAGATTTTTTTTGTCGAAATTCAAAAGAGAATTTTTAGTTTTATCTAATTAAATAGTAGGCAGTTTATTTTGATTTAGTATAATCTATACTATTAATTGGGAAGTACAACTTGAAGCCAAACAACCCCAATTTTAAAAAAAATTTCATGAAAATAAAACCATTTGCCAAACAAAATTAATGACAGCAAAAAAAAACAAAAACTTATAGTTATATATTTCAGTTGCCAAACAAAACTAATGACAGCAAAAATGTTTTAATAAATAAATAAATAATAAAAAACAGAAACTACCTATATTTATGTATCATACTAATTTTGTTGCCAAAAAAGTGGAAAATTAAATTCGAAAATCTCCATGTATATAACATATTTAACATTTTTAGATATTTTTAAACAATAATTTAATATTTAATAAAATCTAATCTATAGTATTTTTTATTTGGTTTATTGATTTCATTCAAGTGTTTATGTTATTTGTATTTTGTATAACTCTTATGATATGATATATATTTATTTTGCGTTACAAAAATCATCATATATATATTTTTTTTATATTGATGTTTTAGGAAAAATAAAAGAAAAATAAATATGTTATATATTTTACAATAGAATAAAATATGAAGAAATATTCAACAAAATTGATATTATCTTTAAAAATTTTAAAAATGACAAAGTCTTAAATAAATAATTAAAATGTTTAAATAAAAAAAATCTTCAAAAAATCAATAATTATTTTTTTTTCAAAAATCAATCGAATAAATATTTTGTATCACATACAATCTCTTATTTTCAAAATCTTCATATTGAAAATGTTTTTCGAAAATATAGCAAAAAAAGATATTTATATATTTCCTTGAAATATACTTAAAAAACCAATATAGCATGTGACCAAAAATAAAATCATCAAATAAACATTTTTTTATTATTAACATCAATTTAATAATATATTAACTCCCCAATTTCGCTGGATATTGACTAATATGCAATTAGCATTTAATAGTTTTAAGTAAGTTCAGGAAATCATATCACACGATTATTATATTTTTCATATAATATAACATTGCCAATCCACAAAAAGAATTAAACAGTTAATGGAATAAAATAGTTATTTGAATTTTCATTACTTAGTAAA